GTGCCCTTTGCAGGCTGTTCCCCTCACAGGCCATCCTGTCCCCCCTTTCCCTCCCCAGTGGGCCCCTTGCAGACTGGACTAAGCTCTTTTCTGCCAAGCATGTGAGGTTTCTCTCTGGCAGTAGAACAATTGGTCTCTAAAGTGGCCATAGCTCCCTGGCCTCGGGGTGGAGAGACCCTTTGTGGGCCCCAGGATCCCCCCCCCCCAGCCCCTCACTTCGACCCACAGGCCTCTCAGCAGGAGCCCTTGGGAAGGGGTTAAAGCACAGATCTGGGAGGCAGGAGATCTGGATTCTCTGCCTGGCTCACCAGAAGTATCTTAACTGCTCCCAGCCTCAGCCGGGGAGAGCTGGGGGACAGGAGGGCAGCAAGGGCTTGTTTATTCCAGGAGTGAAGCAGGGATGTCAGCAAGTAGCTGACTAGACAATTAACTGACAAGCCTGGGCTTATCAATTAATCTAGTCAACTCAACTACTTGCATTTCTTCCCTGCCCCTTGCTGTCTCTGTATCAGAGGCAGCAGCATGGGGAGGCAGGCAGCCAGTTTGTGCAGGGAACTGTTTTTAAAACTGGCTCCCTCACGGACTGGCTCCCACTTGGCATCCCACACTGCTCACTCGGATAGAGAGGCAGCAGTGTGGAGTGGCGGGGGGGGCTCCCCAGGAGGGGGGCTGGAGCGCACTGACTGACTGTTGGCCCCGCCCCAGGGGACTGTCGAATAATCATGCAACCACTAAGAATGAAAGCGGTTAGTCACTGCTCTGTTACCTGCTCTCTAACGGCCCTCATGTGAAGTGGCAGAACCACGCGGCGGTGGTGGTGAGGGGCACCCGTTCCTGCAGGGCACAGTGCCGCTGAGCTGACCCCTCTCTCCTTCTCTCCCCCACTCCCAGGAAGGTGCCCGCCCATGAAGCTGAGACAGCTGGAGCTATCATGGCCTTTTTCCTCTCGCTGGGTCTGGCCCTGGGAGCGGTGATCTCCTTCCTCTTCCGGATTATGATCTAGCCAGGCAGCAGCACGGAGCCTGAGGCCAGGCTTGCTCAGCTCACAGCAGCTGCAGTACTGGAGGGGACAGCTCCTGTGGGCTGCAGTGGACTCCGACTGCCTCCGCCCTTCCCTGGGGCACACCTCCGCCCTGCCTTGTGGATAGCTTGGCTGGGGCATTTGGCCTTACCCCCTGCTTGTGTGATGGCTCCAGGACTTGTGCCATTCTCTCTCTCTCTGGTGCTGTGAGACCCGGATCCCTTCCACATACACACATCTCCTATGCCCAGGGTTGTGTGACTCCTCCCCAGACACTGATGCCAGGATCCTGCCTCAGACTCATAGCACGCCTGGGATCCTGAGCTCAGAGAACACCTAAAGTCACCCCCCTCCCTTAGGGCCTGCAGGCTGTGCTACATCCCTGTGACCTTAATACGTGTGCCCCCAAGTGCTGGAGCTGCTCAGACATAAAAGGCTTTATCCCCACTCCGGCAGGAGCTAGAGACATGATCCCCAATCCTGATGGGGAACTGGGGCAGGGCTGGCGCTAGAGCCCAGGTGTCTGGAGTCCCAGCCACCCCTGGGGCACACCTCCGCCCTGCCTTGTGGATAGCTTGGCTGGGGCATTTGGCCTTACCCCCTGCTTGTGTGATGGCTCCAGGACTTGTGCCATTCTCTCTCTCTCTGGTGCTGTGTGACCCGGATCCCTTCCACATACACACATCTCCTATGCCCAGGGTTGTGTGACTCCTCCCCAGACACTGATGCCAGGATCCTGCCTCAGACTCATAGCACGCCTGGGATCCTGAGCTCAGAGAACACCTAAAGTCACCCCCCTCCCTTAGGGCCTGCAGGCTGTGCTACATCCCTGTGACCTTAATACGTGTGCCCCCAAGTGCTGGAGCTGCTCAGACATAAAAGGCTTTATCCCCACTCCGGCAGGAGCTAGAGACATGATCCCCAATCCTGATGGGGAACTGGGGCAGGGCTGGCGCTAGAGCCCAGGTGTCTGGAGTGCCAGCCAAACACTTTAATTACCAGCCCCTCTTTCCTCCTCCCAGTGTGCCTTTTCCCCTTCTCCCCTGCTACCCCCACTGCTCCAGACCTTGATCTGCCATTGGAGAGCTGTGACCGTGCCTCCCCTAGGAGGCCCTGCAACAAGTGGAGCAGGCATGCTGGCGGTGGGGGGTGCACAAGAGCCAAAAGCTGACCACAGCCATCCCACATGCCACAAGGCCTCTCCTGGCTAGCTGTCCCTTAGCGCCAGTGGGGGCCAGGCCAGGCATGTTTATCTCTGTAAATGTATCTGTACAGTTGCCATTTTCTATACAAAGTGAATCTGCCTCTGGTGTGTCTCACTGACTCCCATCCCAGCACTGGGGGAGGGGAACATGAGCGTCACAGGTGTTTCAGGCAATGGTGTGGACTCCAGCGGGGCTGGGGGCCACCTGGTGTTGAAGGGACCAGTGTGAAGAGGCTCCCAGAACTGCTTGCAGGGACATCTGTGTGTGTCTGTCCTCAGCTGCTGCTCAGTTCACTCCTGCTGGCCCCACACCCACCCTGGGCTCCCATGGGGGGGTTCTGTGGGCAGTGAGGGGCAGGCCCTGCCCATGAGCTCTGGTGGGCACAACCAAGGTGAGCATGCAGGGGTCCAGGCTGGGCATGCTGGGATCCAGAGCTCTGATGCCTTGACAGGTGCTGGGCTGTCAGTATCCATTCTGCAAAACTGCTGCCCTGGCAGGTGCATTGGATGGGCTGGAGTGCCACCTAGTGACCACAATAGTGAACTGTGGCATTTTGTCCTATCAGGGCATCTCTCTGCCCCTTTGCCTCTCCTGGAAGCAGTTTCCCCAGAAACTCTCCCAGCTCCCTCTCCTGGGCACAGCTGTTGCCCTGAGTGCCGGGACTACCTGCCCCTGCAAAAACATACCCCTGCAGCCTCACCCCAGCATAGCCCATGGCTGCCTGTTGCCAACTGCCTATCACCCGTGTCCAGGCTAGTCGCATGCCTGGCACCAAAGCCAAGCTGTGCAGAACCCCCAGGGTTTATACTTTGGTTCTCCCCAGGACACGTGGACACAGCTCCTAAAAGTGCAATTACAGCTTGTGAATGCACACACCTGTGAGCTAATACAGCTGTAGCACGAGTGCAGGCCCTGCATGGGACTATATGCCAGGGTTTTGGAGAGGCTATGCTAAAGCCTGTGCTGCTGCATCTGCTTGCTCCTTTTAGCTGTGCTAAATGCTGGGGCACATCAGCCCAAGCAGCAAGCACACTTCGGCTACGTCTACACTGGCACCCTTTTCCGGAAATGCTTAAAACGGAACAGTTTTCCGTTATAAGTATTTCCGGAAAAAGCGCATCTACATTGGCAGGATGCTTTTCCAGAAAAGCACTTTTTCCGGAAAAGCGTCCATGGCCAATGTAGATGCGCTTTTCCGGAAAAAAAGCCTCGATCATCATTTTCGCGATCGGAGCTTTTTTGCGGAAAAGACTATTGAGCTGTCTACTCTGGCCCTTTTCCGGAATAGTTTTTCCAGAAAAGGACTTTTGCCCAAACGGGCGCAGCATAGTTTTTCCAGAAAAACACTGACAATTTTACAGTAGATCATCATTGCTTTTCCAGAAAAGCAAGCGGCCAGTGTATAGATCGTGTTTTCTTCCCCAGAAAAGAAAGCGGCCAGTGTAGACAGCTGGCAAGTTATTCCGGAAAAGCGGCCGCTTTTCCGGAATAAGTGGCCCAGTGTAGACACAGCCCCCCTGTTGCAGTGCAGATGTAGCCTGGGGAAATTTTGTGTTACCTCCAGTTAAGTGACTACATCAAGGCCTAGGGTGAACCACAATTGTTTGTGACTTGGAGAAACATGCCTGTGTGCCTTCGCTAACAATCACCACCAGTTAAAGCAGGCTCACCACCACTGATGGAGCCATAAGCCAGGTCTGCACTCAAAAGTAATGTTGTCCCCATTACATTGCCTGGTGTGTGAGAGAAACAAGAGAGTAGACAAGCCCATACCCTATCCTGCAGCCATCTTGGTCCAAACATTCATCATCCCAGCCGTGTAGGAGTTGAATGGCCCAGAGGTGGCTGTGCCCTTGATCTTGCCTCCCTTTGAGCGAGTAACCGCTGGTGACAGCTGCCTGCTAGAGAAGGCCCAATAGTTACAGCTCATCAGCCCTGAAGATCATTGTCACTCCCATCCCACCCTACCCCTGTGCTGGAGGGACCTCAGGCTTTGTGGCTTATTCACTACTTGGCTATGCTGTTGGGGCTTGTGATGGGATGGATCACAGATCCCCTTGAGACTGCCACCTGATGGGCTGATCACACCACTGAGCCTGCCTGCTTGCGCTTTGGGACGCCCTGACCTACTGAGCCAGACCCTCTGGTCTCCTCCAGCAAAAGCACAGAGCTGAGATCCACCCACAGCAGAGCAGCACGGCTCTGGGAAGGCTTAGTCACAGGTATTTGACACAGCAGCCAGGTACACAGTTCCCATGGGACCAGAACCCCAGCTAAATCCTTCTTACTCTGCATAAGTTTGATACAGAGCAAGCTCGTGAGTTGTTTGCTTCCTTTACCCATGAAAGCTGTTGTTCCCCCACTCCAGGTAATGATTGTTTACACTGGGTTTAACAAACAAAATGTGATTATTAAACATAAAAAGGTAGGATTTATGTGGTTGCAAGTGATAACTTAGTAACTTTGATCTGTTAAGTAAAACAAAACACATCAGCTAAGCCTAATACATGAAGGCTTTGGCCATACTATGCGTTTTTCTGCAAAAGGCAATGCAGATGAAGTTTGGATTAGCATTTTCTCATGCTTCATTTGCATGCTTTCCTGTCCCGGAGAGGTATAAGGATCTTGCAGGAAAAGGGGGTTTTGTGCAAAGTGGCCATGGCCACACTGCCTGTTTTTGCGCAAAAACCCAGCGAAAGAGTATGCAAATGAAGTGTGAGAAAATACTAATCTGTGCTTCATTTGCATTGCCTCTTGCGGAAAAACTCATGGGGTGCGTATAGACTGGCAAGATTTTGCCAAAAGCAGCCGCTTTTGCGCAAAAACTTGCCAGCTGTCTACACTGGCCGCTTGAATTTGCGCAAGAGCACTGACGTTCTAATGTATGAAATCAGTGCATCTTGTGCAAATACCCTGATGCTTCTGCTCAGGGATAAGCCCTCTTGCGTCTTGCGCAAGAGGGCCAGTGTAGACAGCATTATTCCGGAAAAGCGGCCGCTTTTCCGGAATAAGTGGCCCAGTGTAGACACAGCCCCCCTGTTGCAGTGCAGATGTAGCCTGGGGAAATTTTGTGTTACCTCCAGTTAAGTGACTACATCAAGGCCTAGGGTGAACCACAATTGTTTGTGACTTGGAGAAACATGCCTGTGTGCCTTCGCTAACAATCACCACCAGTTAAAGCAGGCTCACCACCACTGATGGAGCCATAAGCCAGGTCTGCACTCAAAAGTAATGTTGTCCCCATTACATTGCCTGGTGTGTGAGAGAAACAAGAGAGTAGACAAGCCCATACCCTATCCTGCAGCCATCTTGGTCCAAACATTCATCATCCCAGCCGTGTAGGAGTTGAATGGCCCAGAGGTGGCTGTGCCCTTGATCTTGCCTCCCTTTGAGCGAGTAACCGCTGGTGACAGCTGCCTGCTAGAGAAGGCCCAATAGTTACAGCTCATCAGCCCTGAAGATCATTGTCACTCCCATCCCACCCTACCCCTGTGCTGGAGGGACCTCAGGCTTTGTGGCTTATTCACTACTTGGCTATGCTGTTGGGGCTTGTGATGGGATGGATCACAGATCCCCTTGAGACTGCCACCTGATGGGCTGATCACACCACTGAGCCTGCCTGCTTGCGCTTTGGGACGCCCTGACCTACTGAGCCAGACCCTCTGGTCTCCTCCAGCAAAAGCACAGAGCTGAGATCCACCCACAGCAGAGCAGCACGGCTCTGGGAAGGCTTAGTCACAGGTATTTGACACAGCAGCCAGGTACACAGTTCCCATGGGACCAGAACCCCAGCTAAATCCTTCTTACTCTGCATAAGTTTGATACAGAGCAAGCTCGTGAGTTGTTTGCTTCCTTTACCCATGAAAGCTGTTGTTCCCCCACTCCAGGTAATGATTGTTTACACTGGGTTTAACAAACAAAATGTGATTATTAAACATAAAAAGGTAGGATTTATGTGGTTGCAAGTGATAACTTAGTAACTTTGATCTGTTAAGTAAAACAAAACACATCAGCTAAGCCTAATACATGAAGGCTTTGGCCATACTATGCGTTTTTCTGCAAAAGGCAATGCAGATGAAGTTTGGATTAGCATTTTCTCATGCTTCATTTGCATGCTTTCCTGTCCCGGAGAGGTATAAGGATCTTGCAGGAAAAGGGGGTTTTGTGCAAAGTGGCCATGGCCACACTGCCTGTTTTTGCGCAAAAACCCAGCGAAAGAGTATGCAAATGAAGTGTGAGAAAATACTAATCTGTGCTTCATTTGCATTGCCTCTTGCGGAAAAACTCATGGGGTGCGTATAGACTGGCAAGATTTTGCCAAAAGCAGCCGCTTTTGCGCAAAAACTTGCCAGCTGTCTACACTGGTCGCTTGACTTTTGAATTTGCGCAAGAGCACTGACGTTCTAATGTATGAAATCAGGGCTTCTTGCGTAAATACTTTGACGCTCCCGCTCAGGGATAAGCCCTCTTGCACAAGAATACTTGCGCAAGAGGGCCAGTGTAGACAGGCACCTTAATTTTTTGCGCAAGAAAGCCCGATGGCTAAAATAGCCATCGGAGCTTTCTTGCGCAAAAGCGCGTCTATACTGGGCACGGATGCTTTTGCTCTAGACGCTCTTTTGAGGAAATACTTTTAACGGAAAAACTTTTCCATTAAAAGTATTTCCGCAAAATCATGCCAGTCTAGACGTAGCCATAGCCTAAAAGAAATTGTTGCTGATCATAATTTCACAATCTAGTCCTTATTTCAGGTAAAGTCCTTCTCAGGTCAAAGCTGTTCTTTCTGCCCTGGGCCCAGCAGCTCTTCTCCACCCGTGCTGTTAGAGTGCTTTTGTTGCCAGGTGTTTTCATGTATCCTCTGGGGATAACAAGCAATTTGTGAAGCCAGCTAAAGACCATCATTGTTAACTTCCTCTCCTCTTACATAGATTTCCCTAGGATGAGAAGACTTTGTTCAATTCCCAATGCCCCTGTGGAAAAGTACAAATGTCAAGATGGATTCCAGCACCAGGAGGCTGGCCACAGTTCAGGCTTACAGGCAAACAAGACCATTTGCAGATCATTGTCTTGAGTACCGAGCCCTTAAGTTCCTTGAGTAC